AACGGCGCGGCCGGCAGATTCGACGAAGGAGCGTCCGGCGGGCTTGCGGCAACCACATGTGACGACCACGGGCTGGATCCACGGGTGAAAGCTGATCCGGCGATCCACAGCGCAAAGTTGATGTATTTCCTCAGCGACCAGCATGGATCAGCTCCAGGCATGACGAAGCAAATATCGTCCTCTTTTGGAAGGCCAAACAAAGTAGTTTCGCTTTCACACGGAAACACACAGCGCCTTCACGAGATGACGGCGGCAACAACAGTACTACAGCAAGAATAAAAGTTACACCTTCTTTCTTTGCGTGAACATTTGGGCGGCGTTATGCAAATCTTCCCACATTGTGATGTAGACATGTGGGGGCGTGTTGGAACGAGCCGTTTTAGGTAGGCGTGGTTGACTCTTAACTTTTATAAAGAATATCTCTTTGGATTTGAGACTTTAGTCTTTGCAACTTTACAGATCTTCTTTATGCACCAAGAGCTTGTAACACTCCAAAGAGAAAGGAAAAATTTTAATCGCATCATATGACCCCTTTAAAATAAAGTGTTACCTCCTTTTTTTATTTTGGGGTGATATATGGACATGGACACTTCCATGAGCTGATCTTCTGCTGTTTTCAGGTGCAGATCGCTTCAGTAACAATATTAAGGCCATGATCGGTTACCAGCCGCTCTGCATCTTCAGGCTGTGCTGGCGTTAACTGACTCCCGCCATGTGCATTGTGGGTCACTCGATCTGGACACTGATAGCAGATGCTGATTGATCGTCAGCATCCTCTGAGAACATCTCTGTGTGTGTTCAGGGCACATTCGGGTTCTCGCTCATGTTCTGGTCTCCGCTGACCCTCGCCAACGGTGTGACGGCCCCTGTATGGGCCACGGTGATGGGCTGGACGCTGACGCTGTCCTCTGTGTCTCTTCTGCCTCTCTGGGCCATCTACAGCCTCATGAATACGCCAGGAACCCTTCAACAGGTAAAAAAATAAAGCCACTTTACCATGTTAAAATCCATGAATAATAGTCCAGTGATATAATGATATAAACCTTTCCATACCACTGCATTAAACAAAAAAAACTAAACTACTAATAATCCTAAAGACAAATTCATCAATCAGAGAAGTTGCTGTTATTATGGAAACCGCCTACTCTCATGAAGCATCGCGGTAGTAGAGTCTTTCTTGCTTCACTCCAGTGTTGTTATTGTTACCTACAATTAAAACTATTAAAATATGTTATTGTTAATTGAAGCTGAAATAAAATATAAATTTGAAAATTAGAAATGTTGCCTTGGCAACTAACTGAAATAAGTTTGAGTTAAAAATTACACACACACATGCACACATATGTATATGTATGTATGTGTATGTATGTATATGTATATTATGTATGTATATATATATATATATATATATATATATTGTAACAGTTCGTAGATTGGGAAGAAGGAGGTGGGAACCGGCGAAAATGTAAACAATTTAATAACAAAATAAACACAAAACTGAAAATAGAGCAACAGCCCCTCACGGACGTCTGCCGCACACAAACAGAACCAAAACAACAACATAAAGTCCAGGCCTGGTCCTCTCTCG